TTCTCGGCGAGCCACGACGGTGACGATTTCGCCGGAGTTCCGATACAGAACAGGAGACTGTTGGGAGTGGAGGAACGAGAAGATAAATTCCCGAGATGGATGAGGCCAAGAGAACGCGAGATATTGGAAATGCCGGTATCTCAGATACAAGCTGATATTATCGTCTCGAAAGACGGCAACGGCACGTGCAAAACTATATCGGAAGCTATCAAGAAAGCTCCTCAGAACAGTACTCGCCGGATAATTATCTACGTCAAGGCCGGAAGGTAAAATTACTGTTTCACCCTTCGCATTAATCGATGTTTTTAACTGTTATGTCCGTGAATGACGAAAGTGAAAAACTAAAAACCAGTACGGAGGTCTAATAATTGCGTATCTCTGACTGTGTCTGTAATCTCTGTGTTTTTTTATTTTTGGAAAGGTATGAAGAGAACAACCTCAAGGTCGGTAGGAAAAAAATAAATTTGATGTTCGTTGGAGATGGGAAGGGTAAAACTGTCATTTCCGGAGGGAGAAGTATATTTGACAACATCACTACTTTCCACACGGCGTCATTTGGTGAGTTTTTTTTATCCCTCGCTCTTCCTTTTTACTATTACCCTTTTCACTTTTTGAACTCTTTTGAAATAATACAACAATAATGATAAATAGTTAAAAGCAAAACACGTTGAACCAATATTTTTTAATGCAATTAAAATGTACAAGAATTATAAATTGATACACTAATCTTTTCGGTGGTGGAAAATCAGAATATGTTTTTAGTTCCATAATAGAAAAGTTAAAAGATCTTTTTGTGTTAATTAAAATCTTAAAAAGGAGCTTCGAGGGTCAACATTTATGATATAATAAATGTTGTTTTTTTCCGTGGATTTAATATATACTTTTTGTTGTACATATTTTTTACTGAAAAAAGGTATTAATATAAATAAGTTAAGACGGAAAAATATATATACTTTGAGGAGAATTATTGGAATCAGATACGTGAAGGGGGCCATGAGCTAGGCTGTCTATAGATTTCGGATTGAAAGGGTTTAAAAAAAAGTGTCCAATAGATTCTCTTAAATTCAGAAATTTTTACGAATATTAGTTGTCTTTCACCACCACTTGTGTGTATGTGTTTTTTTTTTTTTTTTGTAAAAGACTTAACACCACTTGTATTTATTCTTCATATGGATTATGGACCCATTAAAGAAAGCTATATTTAAGTAAACCTTCTAAATAGTAGTAGTATGTACTCGAACCAGTAAACAAAGTCAATATTATGGACCACTAAATTTGTAAATAGTGATATTTGATTTTTTTTTTCTTTTGTGTTTTGGTATTTTCTCAAACTTTTTTTGCTAAGGCACTCAGTAGTCGTTTTTGAATTATCTGTTTCTTGTCTGAATTATGAATTATCATATGTGCAACAGAATCTTTGTTTAATCACTTTTTTTTTTTCAAACAAACAAGTTTTAATGCAAATGTCATTCACTCGTTTTTATCTGCCACTTCCGCTCAAGAACCTTCTTATGGCAGACTTAGCTTTAATTTACTTTTGACCAACTTTTTCTCGCGCATGCTGAGTTAAGAGACCTAAGTTGTAGTTCTTACGTAAGTTTACGTGTTTCTTGTGTTTTAGAGATGACCATGATCTTTTCTTCTAACATTGATCTTTTCTTTTAACAACATTGAATTTTTTTTTTTTTTCAGTTTTCATATAAAAGTATCATAAAAATCTAAACAAATTTACTGGTTTGCTAAGTTTTACCGATTTATAACCAACTTTTTCGTATATTTTTTTTTTCAGTTTTGATCTTCAACTCAGTTTTGTAGAAACTTAAATTTGATCTAATCTTAGAATGCTTTTTCGATAACTATATAGTACATCAACTTTATTTATTGGAATATTGACTTTTCCATAGGATTACGATTGAATTCGGTTAGGTAACACACTTACACTGAATTGGACATCCTATGTGATGCTGCCGCTTATCCAACCAAACTCACATGCATGTTGTTGTGATTTTTAATGTTCATTAAATGCACACAACTCAAATCAAATCAAAATTATAAAACATTCTTTTGATCAAACAACGTTTATATACTTCTTTACCTTCATCTAATATTCATTCCTAAATACTCAGATCCACTTACGTACTACAACAGTAAATGCATGCGCCACATATGTATAAACAAATATACGTAGAGACACGCACACATGAGAATGCATACACATATAGAAGAATATGAACGTATCGTAAGGTTCGAAGTAGGCCGCGCAATTACTGACCACACATATTTGTATATATATAAACATGCATGATGGGAGACAGAGAAGAGTAGCATTTATTTACATATATAGTTGGAGGTGGGTCATGGCTCATTATTTGTTTGAACGCGTTAGAGACCACTGACTACTCACTAGTTGCATACAAAATTTGTAGGTAACGACATTTCTCAAATGCTAGTTTCTACTTTGACTATATATAAATTTAGTAGTGAACTAGTTTTGTCTGACTGCATTTTGCGTCTTTATTTAGACCTTAAACATGTATTGATAACAATTAACTTTATCTGCCTTTAATTAACAAAAAAAAAAAAAACTTTATCTGCCTTTTTGTGTGAGAAAAAAAAACAACAGAATAAATATATTTTCTACCTGCAAAAATCTTAAAAATAACATGTCAAAATAAATTAATACCGTAAACGGTACCTGTTGGTGTCGATCATAATTTTAATATTTTGTTACTGCCGCCAGCTCAAGATTAATGTATTGCTGCATTGATGGTGAATTTAAAATTTTGCTTTATCTTGATTTTTTATTTATTTAAAGAGTTAGTAAACACAAAACATAATTGTATTTTTCTTTCTTTAATTTTTCCAGCTGCGACCGGAGCTGGATTTATTGCAAGGGACATCACATTCGAGAATTGGGCCGGTCCAGCGAAGCACCAAGCGGTGGCTCTCCGCATTGGAGCTGACCATGCAGTGATCTACCGATGCAATATAATCGGTTACCAAGACACACTTTACGTCCATTCAAACCGTCAATTCTTTCGTGAATGCGATATCTACGGTACAGTCGATTTTATCTTTGGTAATGCAGCCGTCGTACTACAAAACTGTAGCATCTACGCACGAAAGCCCATGGATTTTCAGAAAAATACAATCACGGCTCAAAACAGAAAAGATCCGAATCAAAACACGGGAATATCGATACATGCGTCTAGGGTTCTTGCAGCATCCGATCTCCAAGCGACAAACGGTAGTACCCAGACGTATCTAGGCCGACCTTGGAAGCTATTCTCTAGGACGGTGTATATGATGTCGTATATCGGTGGTCATGTACACACGAGAGGTTGGCTCGAGTGGAACACAACATTTGCTTTAGATACGTTATATTACGGAGAGTATTTGAACAGTGGACCCGGGTCAGGTCTCGGGCAACGTGTGACCTGGCCGGGGTATCGGGTCATCAATTCGACGGCCGAGGCGAACAGGTTCACGGTGGCGGAATTTATATACGGTTCGTCGTGGTTGCCTTCGACCGGAGTTTCGTTCTTGGCCGGATTAAGCATATAGGTAGAGGGAAAAATGAAATGCTTATGTTTCCGATGAATTGTTTCATTCTTACGGTCCTTATATTAATGGACATATCATTAATCCTATATATATGAGTATATTTTAACTTTTATTTGTACTATCTCCAGAGGTAATATTCAATAAGATTGACACTCTAAGATAGTTTTCCACGATACAGTATACATCATAAAAATTTAAACTACTTCGGTTTTACATAAAATTTTGAAAAAGAATATAGGCTTTGCTTGGTAATTCTTTAACGTATACGTCATACTTTAATACTTTTTTGTGTGTCAAAACAAGGGCTAAAAGTCCAGACTCAAGCGACATTATTGTGTTTAACCGACTAAATGTTTCGAAAACTATGAATTTTTATTGTATTCACACATTTTAATATTGCAACAAAATAAAATTCAAACATTGAAAAAAAACATGAATTGGATGTGTCGGTGCCGAGTGGTGAGAGCCTGAGATAGGAAGTCATGTGATTGAAGTCAATAGGTCACGGCCCACGACCGACACCGACTGTGGGATCCACGATTTTTGGGAACTTATGTTCCAGTCATGTTCGACGTCTTAACAATAATAATACCAAACATCATTTTCGTCACTTTCCAATTAAGATGTTTTCTTACCTTATACATTATCATTCATTAAAATTTAAAACTTAAAACTGACGAAAATTTTACATGAGAAAATGTTACCTTATAACTCTACTTTCTTTTACATAATTTGGTCCCTCATGTAATTATATCAAACAAGCTGCTTAGCGACTTCTCAAATCATTTGTTGAGCTATTCAATATTATAAGTTTTTCTATCACGTTCATTATAATCTCACTCACATAGATTAAGAAAATCTAAACATTTGAAAATATATGAGAAATTTGATTAAAAACTAATTAATTAATAAATAGAAATTCAAAATAATTAATTTTTACATATTATCTAATTTGATTTTCTATTATTTTTTTGTTTCTTTTACACGGGTTAAATAATTTAAGTTATAATATGTGGATCCTAATCTAGTGATTTATAAATAATAGTTGAAATTCTATGTTATTCGTTTAGTGATTTATTCTAAAATTTCAAATCCGTAGGTAAAACATGTTATTTCAAAATCAATAAGAATTTCCAAATTCCCTATGGATTTACAAATCCATAACTAAAATAAAACCTCCTTAGTATAAATAATCTTTTCCAACGAACTAATCAATTTGAGTTTTTACTCTCAAACCCGCTAGACCACTAACTACACATTAGTTGATAATATAGTTTGGTACGTCAAATTTAGGTTTTGAATGGCTTTTTAGACCAAATGAAAACCAGGTGTTATTGGATTGGATTGGTCATTTGCTATATACTTATTAAAGGGCCGAGTTAAAAAGCCCATTTAAAGGAAGACTTCTTTTGCTTGTGAATGTGTTGTTGGGATTAGATTCGTTTTTGACCATCGGTCTCATTCATTTCGACTTCGCTTTTCGTCCTCTTTCTTCTCCAGATCATGTATGTCTCTCGAGTGTCGCTGCTAATGCATTAGTTTTGAATTCCAATTTGGGTTATGACACAAGTGATTCCATCATTTCCTAGCTTTAGCTGGATTCTTGTTTGGAGCAAAAAATCGGAAGGTTTCTTAGCGAATTGTTACCTCTATTAATTTCAATGGAACAGAAATTGTAAGTATCTTTGGTTCCTTTATGTTTTTCCTTAGCTATTATAAAGATCCAACCCTAACTCTTTGAACCCTAAAAAATCTTCTTTTTTTTTCCTTTGATTTTTGACAGCAAAACCGATGCTATGAATGAGGACAGAATCAGTGAGTTGCCTGATGCTTTGCTTCTGCAGATATTGTCTTCACTTCCGACAGAAAACGCCATAGCCACTAGTGTTTTGTCTAAACGTTGGAGATCTCTTTGGACCATGTTGCCAAAACTCAAGTTTGATTGCGATTTTAATCCTGTGCTTGATGATTATAACATAGATCCCCATATGTTTTCAGAGAATGTTTACAGGACCTTGACTTTACATAAAGCTCCGGTTCTAGAGAGTTTGCATTTGTCATTTGAAGGTAGAACTGATTGTTTGGATGTTGGAATATGGATCGCAACCGCATTTGCTCGCCGTGTGCGTAAATTGGTATTGGATAGTTTCTATCAAGAGGATCAGACTGTCACGCTTCCGAGTGTTTTGTTTAGCTATAATGATACACTTGAGATCTTGAAACTCAAGTGTGCTATTGATTTAGACTTTCCTTCTCGGGTTTGTTTGAAGTCTCTTAGAAAGCTGTACCTTTACCAAGTACACTTCAAAGACGAAGAATCTGTTTGCAACCTTTTATGTGGCTGCCCTAGTCTTCAAGATTTGGTCGTGCATAGATATAGCAATGCCGATGTGGCGACTTTCACTATTGCGGCGCCATCATTACAGAGATTGACCATAGAAGATCTTCGCCAAGAAGGAGGTTATGGAAATGGAGGCTATGTGATAAATGCCCCTGCTTTGAAATACTTGAACATCAACGGGTTTATTGATATTGAGTCTTGTCTGATTGACAAGGCACTAGAGCTAGTGGAGGCAAAAATCAGTAACGTTTCTGATATAGCTAATGAGAACATTCTGGAGTCTCTAACTTCAGCCAAACGTCTTATTTTACACTTATCACCCCTTGAGGTAAGCTTAAGACTGAACATTTTCGCCTGGTTATTTTCTCTGCTTTTTTGTGTATTAAATGTATGTAACAATGTAACACTGTTTTGTGTAAATGTACTCAGATTAAAGTTCCTACTGGTAAAATCTTCGATCAGCTAGTTTGTCTAGAGCTACTTACACACGAAAGAGAGTGGTGGAATCTGCTCTCGATCATGCTCGATAGTTCTCCTAAACTACAAACCCTCAAGCTCACAGATGTAAGCAATTATTTTGCTACTCAACTACCTTTTTTGTTTGTTTCTACAACTCCACTTTCAGGTAATTTGTTGATCTAGATGACATAAACTGCATTGTTCCCAGTTCTATCTGCGTGACAACAAAAAAAATCCGGACGAACGAAAATGGAATCCACCTAAATGTGCACCGGAATGTTTGTTGTTCCATCTTGAGACATTCGTGTGGATAGGATATGAATGGCAACGAGGAGATGAGAAAGAAGTGGCCACATACATCCTAGAAAACGCAAGACGGTTGAAGAAAGTAACTTTCTCCACAAAACGCATGGAGGGGGAAAAGCTCGAAAGGTTGGAAAAGAGACGTGAGATGCTCAACGAGTTGGCTAGTGTGCTCTGGGATTCATATTCATGTCACCTTGTGTTCGAATCTACTTAATATCTTAGACTTTTATTCTGTTGTTTTGGCCATTGGGAAATGTATAATTGACTGCTCTACCTATATGTCGGATGCTAATGTTTGGTGACCTTTGAGGAAGAGATTCAGAAGATTATTACTTTATATAGTTTAAAGAGTAGATTCGTTGCCATTGGAAGATCTAGTTTTTGAATATCTTGCACCAACTAGAAGAGTTTCTCTCAAAGCTAAAACTGCTTCAAGAGATTTGTTGGCTCAATCTTATGAGGCTATAGTTTATCTCCTTTGGTTGCAAAGAAGGTTAATACAAAAATATTAAACTAATGTTGTTTTAGTTAAGACAATAATATAATATTTCATAAAAACTGAGATTATAAAAATTCAAAATTTAATTTTGTTATTTCTTGTCAACATTTTGGTATTTTCATAAAATCAATTATAATTATAATTTTCTTCCCTTAGATAGAAACTTCATATCTTCAATATGGACGAACAGAAATGGAATCCACCAAAATGTGTTCCGAAATGCTTGTTGTTCCATCTTGAGACATTTGTGCATGTGGAGAGGATACGAATGTCAACGAGGAGGGAGAAAGAGGTGGCCACATACATCCTAGAAAATGCAAGACGGTTGAAGAAAGCAACCTTCTGCACAAAACCCATCGAGACAGAAAAGCTTGAAAAGTTGGAAGAGAGAAATGGGAAGCTCAACAAGTAGGACGACACTCTCTACATTTTCTTGGACAAATACTGAAATGCCAATACCGGTTTATCTGTGGAAGCGCTTTACTAAACCGGAAAATTGTGGATTTTCATTTTTCTTTTTATATATTAATACATTACAAAATATAGAAAAAATTATATTTTTTATTTTATTTTGTTGTTATGGACAGTGGTTCGCAATAGCAGCTTAGGACTCACATATGCAGCAACAATTACACTGTCTATATTCAGATAACATTTATGTTATCAACGAAAGTTTCCGTTGGAGAATATATCTTGTCTATGCTTTTTTTTTTGGTCATATCTTGTCTATGCTTTATTTTACATATTATTTCATTTCATTTATGTAAGGATTAGAACTGTATATACATATGTGGTCAAGAATAATGTTGGTTACCCTAACTTGACTCTTATCATGAAAGGTATGGGAGGACAACTCATCATGTTGTGATAGCTATGGTTCTTTTCAGAATCAGAGAGGATTGTGATCTTGCTGGAATTTTTTTAGCCGTCGTGTATATGTTGTTTTAAGAAAAGCCAAAAGGCTTTAAGATCCTATCTCTTATTATCATCAGCATAGTCTTAGCTGCCCTCAAGATTTTTTTAGTTGGTGGTGAAAGTTTTGGATGCCCTAGTGATAGGCTCCCACGTCTAAGGTTGGGGGTCGGCCATCATACAACCGAAAAGAGTTAGTAATTTAGTATTAGGTTATGTTAGAATTAGGATTAGGGTTACAGTTAGAGGTAAGCGTTAGAGTTCTCTCAAAAAAAGAAAAACATTAAACAAAAAATGGTTGTAACTTATTAACTCATCAGAACAACAAAACGGAAATGGTCAGCTCTACATAGCTACAAAAGCTTTAGATACCATGCGGTAAGATATTTCTACCTACAGATATATATTGGCTAACTTGATTTGGAGTCAATAATTCATAGCTTGCTTTTCAAATATATGTCGGGTCATCTTGTCTCCGATTCAGTAAATCCTTTGTTCACACGATTCAATACCGTGTAATTTTGTACTAATTTTGTAAAAGTTGAATACCCAAACAAAAAAATACATGAATCTAAATCCCAGACCTATTTCCTTACCCGTTGGATTAAATATACAATCACAAACTGGTAAATTATTTCAAAAGAAACAGTTATGAGATGAAAAATTGCTAGCAGATGTGGGACAAGACGGGTTTTCCGTCCCACAATCAATATGCATACTTTCTCTTATTTCACGCATGAGTACGGGTTATAAGTGTACGAACGAGATTGGAATTACGAGTAATAGATAGATATCAAAAATGTTGAGCTACATTCAATTCTTAAACTTTCAATAATTTGGATACAAATTAATTTTTGAACGGTAAAGGTTTGTTTCCGGACTGAACTTTTGGGATATTAGGGTATTTTATTAAAATATAGTAGTAAATATTTTAGAAAAATAAAGAAAATATGGATATTTCTAATAATTTTTGTAAATATCCAAACGAAAAATTACAGGATATACGAATATTCTATCTGAATTTTAAACTTATTTCTTTATTCATTGGACTAAATATACAACCACTAACGGATAAATTATTTAGAATAAAACGGTTTATAAATTTAAAAAATTGCTAATAGATATAGGACGAGACAGGTTTTCCACCCCCACAATCGAAAGATTATCATCTCATGCGGACATGGCTGTTTTTGCGGATACACGGTCACTTGGTTCATCACATGCGATCGAGATGGACTCGTGCTGCAATAGACTTCGACTCTCTACCATTCCATTATTAGGTAATTTTATTTCTACAACGTTCAACGTTAAGAATAAATTGATTGTTATTCACATGAGATCACAATATTGAAAACTGAAAAGATTAAACTCTCGTGAACTTTCTCGATCAGTTGTAATATTTTCTAAAAATATATGATTGTCTTTTCAAATTCCTTATAAAGAACAACACAATTTCTAAAAGATAAATGAACATATATGTAAACATTGCATCATCACTATTAGTGATTTCATAACCAAATTGATGAAAGTGATCTGTCGATCCAAATTTGTTGAGTCACAAGTTTATTATAGCATTTTATTACTTAATTTTATTAGTTTGACAGTTACACATATCATATAGCCATCATACTCTCAGATCTTTGCTTCATCATCATAGTTCTTAGTTCATATCCGGTGGCGGTGGCCGCGTAGCACGACCTCAACCGTTTACACGCGGTGGCGGTGGCCGCATAGGACGACCCCAACCGTTTACATCCGGTGGCGGTGGCCGCGTAGGACGATCCCAACCGTTTACATCCGTTGGCGGTGGCAGTATAGGACGACCCCAACCGTTTACATCTGATGGCGGTGGCTGTACAGAACGACCCCAACCGTTTACATCCGATGGCGGTGGCTGTACAGAACGACCCCAACCGTTTACATCCGATGGTAGTGGCTGTACAGAACGACCCCAACCGTTTACATCCGATGGCGGTGGCTGTACAAAACGACCCCAACCGTTTACATCTGATGGCGGTGGCTGTACAGAAGGACCCCAACCGTTTACATCTGATGGCGGTGGCTGTACAGAAGGACCCCAACCGTTTACATCCGATGGCGGTGGCTGTACAGAACGACCCCAACCGTTTACATCCGATGGTAGTGGCTGTACAGAACGACCCCAACCGTTTACATCCGATGGCGGTGGCTGTACAGAACGACCCCAACCGTTTACATCCGATGGCGGTGGCTGTACAGAAGGACCCCAACCGTTTACATCCGATGGCGGTGGCTGTACAGAACGACCCCAACCGTTTACATCCGGTGGCGGTGGCCGTGTAGGACGACCCCAACCGTTTACTCTCTGATCGTGGCTTGGGTTTGGGCCTGTTTCCGGACTATCCATCATTTTCGGAATACTCTCTTCAACCTACATTACATTTTTGGTTTGGTAAAAAATTTCACAATAATTATCATATGCACATCTATTTGTAAGTGACTGAAAATATTGATTACTAATCAGAGAGAAAATAAATAATATATGAATATTATGCATTTTGGTTAATGATATTGCTTACCATATTTACTGAATATTGGTCGGTGTGAGGAGCTCCATCTCCATGGCTCTCTCCAAAGCCTAAAAAAGAAAAGGTGAATTCAATAAACAACCATATTATTAGATTATAATAAGTGTGAAATCGGTAATAATCAGACTAGATCTTGATACTAAAAATGTAAAACTATTTAATTAGATATTTAAAACATTCTCAAATTACTTGAAGAACACAAGGGGAGAAGGAGCAAGAACGACATGAGAACCACCAGCTTCATCTTTGAAAGCATTTTTTTAAGACAAGATATATGTTTTGGTTTTGTTGTTTGGAAGAGTAACCCATGCTTCTCTATATATATAGCATACACAGGTTCGTAGTTACCCACTGGTGGAAAAATGTTTTGGCAAATAGATAGATAGGTCTGAATAACTATGCAATACACATTTACTAAAGCTTATTTTGGGTTGGATTTGGACGAAGGTTGCTAAAACTTTCCGTTTTAGGTTTAAAAAAGTTGATGAGATCTACTTTTTCAAACCAAATTAACTTCTTTTTACGTTATACATTATCATTCATTTTTACTTAATTATATTGCTAAAACATTTACATTAGCAATTGAAGACATAATAATTAGAATAGCTATCACTATACGTAGTGGTTTATTTGCTTCACGTCAGCAACTTGAAGCTTCTAAGGTAATAATAACAAAAACCCAAGTTATTATACCCATCTACCATAGGTCCACAACTAATTAATTATACAGAGATAGTAGTACTTTTCACGAAAAAAACGAATACCCTATCTATCAATCATACTTATTTTGTGAAATAAAGAATCCAAGAAACAAGAACACAATGATTGAATAATTCATCTTAGAGTAATTGGAATCAAAATGTAAGTTTCTTCAATGCTGATTTCAGATATTTTTGAGTTCGAGATATTCCATCTCTGTCAGGGGCGGATCCAGAACATATTTTAACCCGGGGCACAATATTTTTTACATCATAGTATAATTTTTTTTTTTTCAAATTTATTTTACTTTCTTCTATATTTTGAAATATTTTCATTACTATCTCATATGTTATTATGACAATATTATGTTTTAACAAAATAAACTAAGCAATCGTTTAAAATTTGTTTAGCCCAATGACACCTCATATTATATCTCATAACTACCGTTCTCACTTATTAGCAACTAAGCATTTATGTGGGCTGAGTACATATTTTCTTTTTTAATTGGTTAATATGGTATTTTTAATATTGTTTTCTTTGTATTGTTAACGTGGACTATTGTAGTGTATAACAAAATTACTTGAAAAAATAAAAGAGTATAGGGCACTTGCCCACCCCACGTATGCCGTGGATCCGCCACTGATCTCTGTTACTAAAAGATACTATAACCTAAGTATATTCTTTCAATTGGTAAAAGTAAAATTAACCCTTTTTTTACCTATCAAGAGAAATCTTTCCTTTCAAAAGATCCATGCTATGAATCAAAACATTCTACAAACACTAATAATCGTCAAACCATAGTTACACGTTGAGATTCCGACGCGGATCTTACGTGCTCAACTGTGTTATTTTCTCCACTTCCTAATCAAACGATGATCCACTTCAAATAAAAATTAATAATACTCTCTCCGTTTTATAATATCAAATGTTTTGGAGAAATTTTTTGTTACAAATATAAGATTTTTTCAAATTTTAATGCAAATTATAGATAAATTTAATATTTTATGATTGTTTATATTTTACAGTCTCTTTTATAGTTGATTGAACATTTTAAAAAAATATATTTTTTAATCTACGTGTTTTTGGCTAAAATAACTTTTATTTTAAAATGGTGGAAATAGTAAAACTAGGCCGCACACTCAAGGAAAAATGTTGTAATCGGCAAGCTCTTGCTTCTTCTATGCAGCAAATATGCTGCGTTTACCAAGTTGCTCCGAAAGTTCAAAAAAATTTGGAAAAAAAATATTATGAGATCATCGTTTCGTTTTTCTACCAAATTACATGATAAAAACAACAATGGATCACTCCAAAAAAATCGAGCTAAAGGCCCAAAAGGGCCCATATATGAATGGCCACACCAAAACATACTTATCCTAAACTTCATCATCATCATCATCTCCAAACCCCTAAGCTCCTAAAACCCTAACAAGAACCCTTACCTCTCTCATTTCCTCTCAAAGGAATCATTTTTCCACTGAGAAAATCTCAAACATTTCCACCATGTCGATCTCTAAAGCCGCCTTTTTCAACCACCTTCAAACACTAGCAAGATCCTACCGCCACCGTGTTCCGCCGCAGCCATTTCTCGCCGTCCGATACATGTCATTCGCGACTCAGGAAGAAGCCGCTGCTGAACGTCGCCGTCGTAAGCGTCGCCTTCGTATGGAGCCACCGGTTAATTCATTCAACAGATCTCAGCAACAACAGAATCAGCAATCTCAAATCCATAGACCAATTCAGAACCCTAATATCCCCAAGTTGCCTGAATCTGTGGCTTCCCTCGTTGGGAAACGTCTCGATCTCCATAATCATATCCTGAAATTGATCCGAGAGAATGATTTGGAAGAAGCTGCTTTGTACACTCGTCACTCTGTGTATTCGAATTGCCGGCCGACGATTTTCACGGTGAACGCTGTTTTAGCGGCGCAGCTTCGACAAGCCAAGTATGGAGCGCTTCTGCAATTGCATGGATTCATTAACCAAGCTGGTATTGCTCCAAATATCATCACCTACAATTTGATATTCCAGGCTTATCTTGATGTTAGGAAACCCGAAATTGCGTTGGAGCATTACAAGTTGTTTATAGATAATGCGCCGTTGAATCCTTCTCTTGCTACTTATAGGATTTTAGTTAAAGGTTTAGTTAGTAATGATAATCTTGAGAAAGCAATGGAGATTAAGGAGGATATGGGTGTTAGAGGTTTGGTGGTGGATCCTGTTGTTTATAGCTATCTAATGATGGGGTGTGTGAAGAATTCTGATGCCGATGGTGTGTTAAAGCTTTATGAGGAGTTGAAGGAAAAGCTTGGTGGGTTTGTTGATGATGGTGTGGTTTATGGGCAATTGATGAAGGGGTATTTCATGAAGGAGATGGAGAAAGAGGCTATGGAGTGTTATGAAGAAGCTATTGGAGAGAATTCAAAGGTTAGGATGAGCGCTATGGCTTATAATTATGTGCTGGAGGCTTTGAGTGAGAATGGGAAGTTCGATGAGGCTTTGAAGTTGTTTGATGCGGTGAAAAAGGAACATAATCCACCGAGGCGTTTGGCTGTAAATTTGGGAACTTTTAATGTGGTGGTTGATGGGTATTGTGCAGAAGGAAGGTATGAGGAAGCTATGGAGGTTTTCAGGCAAATGGGTGATTACAGGTGTAGTCCTGATACTTTATCTTTCAACAATCTGATGAATCAGCTGTGCGACAATGGATTGTTGGCTGAGGCTGAGAAGCTTTACGGTGAAATGGAAGAGAAAAAGGTGAAGCCTGATGAGTACACATATGGGTTGTTAATGGATACTTGTTTCAAGGAAGGTAAGATAGATGAAGGAGCTGCGTATTACAAAACAATGGTTGAGTCTAATCTAAGACCAAACTTGGCGGTGTATAACCGATTGCAAGATCAGTTAATTAAAGCTGGGAAACTGGACGATGCTAAATCCTTCTTCGATATGATGGTGAGCAAACTCAAGATGGACGATGAGGCTTACAAATTCATCATGAGGGCGTTAAGTGAAGCTGGTAGACTCGACGAGATGCTCAAGATTGTGGATGAGATGCTGGATGATGACACGGTCAGAGTGAGTGAGGAACTGCAAGAGTTTGTGAAAGAAGAACTGAGGAAAGGAGGAAGAGAGGGAGATCTGGAGAAGCTAATGGAAGAGAAAGAGAGATTGAAAGCAGAGGCAAAGGCGAAAGAGTTAGCAGAAGCAGAGGAGAAGAAGAAGAGTCAAAGTATTAACATAGCTTCATTAATTACTCCAAAAGCAGTGGAAGAAAAGAAAGAAACCGCAAAACTGCTTTGGGAAAACGAAGCTGGTAGTGTTGAAGAAGCCGATGTGGTGGAGATGGCTCAAGGAGTAGAAGCTGGTGGATCCAACGGTCAGCATCCGCCGTCCTGCTGATCGTATTTTTTACTTGAATTTATTAGACTCTCTAGTTATCTTCCTATATTATTCAACTTTTATGTAATTAGGGATTTGGTTGGGACAATAAGCTATGATTAATCTTTTGCTATAATGCAGGTTTGGCAAAATCTGTTTTCCATGTTTGCTTTTGGTTTCTTTCAATATAACATGCTCTACTCGATGGTCTGTGTAAACTTTTCTTTATCACACAATCTGGTGCATATATATGCAACAAGGAATTGTAATCTTATAACAATTTGGGACAAAGATTTGAAGTGATAGCGAGATATTTATTGAGGGAAGATTGAATTCCAATTACAGGAAGGAATAGAAAGTTATCATCTGATTAAGAAAGTCTAGAAGATTATGTACACAGTAAACTGGTCAAGTCAAAACCAAAACAGATAAAAGACTAGAAACACAGAACCAAAACTAACCGATCTAAACCAAGCCGGTCTACTACCCTTCAAGGAAATTTATTTAAATCTAGTATCATCTGATTAGATGCATTCATGGAAGCAATCTATCAAAAACTATGCTGGAAACAAGTTCTTATAGTCATAATAGGATTCCTTTAGAAGCAAGGGTCACTGTAACTCCGAGCTCCGTGCTTCTTTGCTTGCTCTCTTTTCATCTGGGTGTGTTCATTGGCTGGGGCACCACCAAGTACCAACACATAAACAGATCAATGTTAGCCATAGAAAACTTTCAGATAGAGGTATTTGAAGCTTTGAATTAAAACTGAAACAAAGATCTGATCATATAGACGATTTCATGATTTGCTTCAACGGACATATCAAACTTTGGGCTCGGTTGAAGCATCTATACTATGATAGAAGAGAAGAGTCAGAAGAGACATGGGAACTAGTTTTACTACCTGATTAGTGTATGAACTCTGAGCCAAGCATCGAACAAACTCTTCTTTCTTCTTGCCAAAGTTGAAGACAGCATGCTCACGAAGCACTTGCTCTCGCTTTATGTCCTCCAGCGTTTTCTCCTTCTTCCATTTCAGCTCTTTCATTTTCCTCTCCGCTTCACTATAGTTGTCCATCGTTCGTGAAGCAGTTGGCTTTGCAAATCTCACATTCACCTCATCACTGAAAATCACATTGGTTTCAGTTAAGGACAGCGGAAAACAGCAGGAAGGAAAGAGAATCCAAAGAGGGAAATAAGTTCACGGGTTACAAAATTGTGAGAATCTTACCGGTTTCCAAGATTGAAGATCCCCTGTGTCCTGATGATTCCTCCATCCAAAGATACTGCACCATCACTTATGCATGGGAGGGCACTAATCATATCGGCCCTTGTTTTGTAAACTTGAAGGCGAGAGAATAGACTGTAGAATAAGGTCTCACGAAGACCATGTCCATATGATGTGACACAGAGCAAGTAAGCTGGATCGATTTGTATCATATTCACTGCAAATCCAAGAAACCCGGG